CTTCCATTTTTGCCTGTCGCTCATCTGAAGGCCACTTACAGTAAACGGGCGGTACTCTGAAATTGGACGGATGCTCACTCGGTAGAGTGGGACCCTTGATTCCGCACTACAAAAGTTACGGACGATGCATCCAAGGAGTCTACGTGACTTCGGTGTTGCACAAGCTGTTTGTTCGGAGAATGTCGGGTCTCTGAAACATCTAAGACCTAGGTTTGGCACTGAAGAACGGCTAGGTAGCTTTTGCCCACGTACTTCAGGAGAAACTTCTAGGTTGTCGCTACCTAGCTAGGCCAACAGCATTTATCAATGTTGGACTTGAGGTGGGACTCGTCGCACCATTTGGCGACTTCACCTGATTTTTATTGAATATTGGATAGCGTATTGCTTAGTTCATGAGCGTGACATGGATATACAACCTCAAGGCCATTAGCGTATAGGGATGTTTCTCCTGCGGTGAAGCACTTGTACACACCATTAATACAAGTTATGAACAACAAAGGCCCAGGGACACTACCGTGTGCTACTCCGCTAGTTGTGAGCCTAGGTTTAGACTGCATAGAATTCACTTTAACCACTTGGCTACGATCACTAAGAAATGATTTTAGCCAGCGAAGCGAAGGGTCATGAATCCCAGTCTATCGTAGCTTGTCAAAGAATATACTGTGTGGCACCTTGTCACGTGGCCTTGATATATCAAAGTGTAGAAAAATGAAGATTTTGTGTGCCTTGTGGCTACTAGTGACAAGGTTGAAGAGATCGAAATGGCAAGTAACCCGAGGCTGAGACTTTGTGACGAGATTTTCTCTGAGTGGATAATAAGAGATGCAGATCTTAATTACTTTTCCCATAATCCGAGAAACAACTGGCATTATGTTAAAGGGTCTGTAGTTACTAGCATTTGCTTTGTCGCAAGATTGGTAGCAAGGAACTATGGAGCCAGTTTTCCGCTAGCTGGGATACTCCCCACTCTCCGTTGATAGTGTGAAATCCTAAGCAAGAACAGCGGCATGCCATCAAACCTATGAGTTTGGGACATTTGTCCCAGGGCCTGTCGAAAGTTTCGGGCTTTTGATACCCTCTATGATACTTTCGACAGCGAACTTCACTCTAGTACATGGGCCAGTAGTAACTGGGGTAAAACTAGTGGGGTTAAAAGTGTTTTGGTCGAAGTTTGCGAATGGTTCACTAAAAAGTTCACTAATCTTGAAATGGTCGTTGTGTACCATTCCATTTTGTGGTAAACAGGCTACATCCCTTGATGGCTGCAGACGTTTACTCAAAAGAGATGTCAACTTGTATATTCTAGAGCCGCTTTTGAGCGCGACTATCTCTTCGCTTACTGCATGTCCCTCACGTAATGTTTTGGTAGACTCGTAAATTCATAAATTGGGTGCAGTGACATAAAGACCTTGGAGATGGGCATTTTGATGAAAATTCCAAAGCATTTGTCAGAATATTTCAAGGATGTATGGGTTTGTATGGTTTCCTTTTTACGAGTTTAGGATTTATCCTGGTGCGAACTTCACAGACGCAAAGACTAAGCACTAGTTATTCGAACTTGTTGTATACCCACGAATACGAGACCAAGGAAGAACACAATAGCGTAGTCGGATGGAATAGTATATTTGGATGGTTGTGCCAAAATACCGATGCGTTCCAACTAACTGGCTAGAGAGTCGAATACGAGTAGTGCAACGTAACACGACAGCGTGCCAAATGGCGAGGATGCTTGACCAGGTGCCTTCAGCTTAGTGAGTCCGGTTGAACCATCAAGGTCAGCATCGATGTTGAAGTCGTCAAACCCTGGGCTATTGATTTTGGGGAGTGTGTGACGCTATACGAGCAACTGAAGCACCGGGTTCACTTGTAACCACATTTGATTGAGACCTTTGTATCCGGGAGGAGGTATATTTAACAGAAATACTGGTCATGTCAACACTTTTTGGTGGTCTGTACGTGAACATAGTAGCCACCGCGTCTAAAGGTGACTAGCTGGCCAGAATAGTTCTTCTTTGTTTTCTGCGTTGGCACGCAGTTTTTTCTTGTGCATTGGCAACACTTTTGAAGTTGCCGTGTAGCCTTATGTGGTCTCGTGATGTAATAAATCTTTTGGCGTCAAATGAAGTGGTGAACTTGAAATTCATAGGGCTTCTTACGGGGACGCCTACAGTCACAGTGTGTTTCTGTCATACCGCATGAGTCTAATACATTTGTCTTGACTACATCAAATGTTAGGATACAGAGTATGTTACAAACGATTGTCCGTCGAGATGACCATAGTCCCTTCATTACCTCCGTTACCAAATAGTCTATTAAGTTTTGTGCGTTCTCCACATGGTCTCCAACTAAGTTTTCAAGCTTCCCAAACAGATATGTTGGTGGATGGAAATCCTCGACTATTCTCCGGGTCTCTTCTATCATGGCCTTAGTATTATCTGTTTCTTTCCTGTGGTCGTTAATACTGTTGCTCGTGATTGATATGATGTCCTCACTTCTGATGAAAGATATGAGGCATGCCACTCAGTCGCGATCTGAGGTATGCGGAGTAACAACGCTTACATCACACAAAAGGGCACTGAAACTGCTGAGTCTTTGCTTTTCTAACCAGGGAAGCCAATTTAAGAACGTTTAGCCTTAGATCTTCCCAATTAAAAGGACTTTCAAGTCGAAACCCGTTGCTGAAATAGAAAAACAGAGGACGGCTGTAGGTAGTATACCGAAACGTTGGTGACACAGTAAGTGGGAAGAATAGCGGAGCCACAAACCAAAAATATGGAATAGATTAGAATATTACCATCAATACATAGTAATAAATAGTCGGACACAACAGGAAATTAGCAAATTTAAATAATCAACAACAGTGCGAAAAAGAAGCGTATAGATTCAACTTTACCGCGTATCTAGCAGGCCTGAAAATACTCTAAGCCACGGTAGTGTATATAGCTATTGTATCTATGCATTTTGTGGACGTTGCTGTAGACGTTGTACATACACCTGTTTTATTACTGCGTGACCATTATGGGTGGAATTTGAAGGCATTTGTGCACGCGTCCACATTTACATAACTCAGGCTCTATCAGGTGTCTGTTAAACCACTTAAAATGTGGCCACTTGACCTACAGACCACAAGAAGTAACGGAAAAGGTGCAACCAACCGCAGTCGAGTACTTTACTACTCATTCCTCCCGAAAAACTGGAAGTACTGCTGACCCACACACCTAGATAATTCCTCAAGATGGAAACCAACCGTTGTTACACACTACGTGGCTCCGGAGGCGGATACTGGTGCGCCACCAACTCTCTGGATGTTTGGGACGACTTAGCAGCCAACTTGAATAGTAAGCAAACGGCCCATACAGTCTTTCTTGACCTAGAAAAAGCTTTCGAAGGTGTTTCACACAATGCTTTTCTCACAAAAATTTCAGCAGGAGGAGGAGCCATTGAAGTGTTGATCTCTTGATGCAAGCCATCCTTGGAAAGCAGGGAACTCTGGCCAAACATCAACAGAACCGGCTTTCTTGGAGGTCCCTCACATCTGAAGCGTCGCAGAAAGCCACGGGTAGTCCGTTTCTGCTTCTTCTTGTTAAAAATGATTTTCTTATAAGAGTCTTTTCATCCATCATGGTATTAATGGACGACAGCACGATAAAGAGCCAATACCAGAGTTAGAGCGAACCTACTTTCACTTGTAATTCGCACCCTATGGAACGCTCTACCACCGAACAACAATTACTTCCACACCGGAGTCATTCAGAAGATTGTGAGATAGACGCTTTGTGACGCATGACTTACTACTAACCGATGAAAAGAGTCTTTGATCTCAGAAACCCTCCAAAGAACTTAAGCAATATCACCTAACTAGTTTCCCAGTCTCCACTTGCCACTAATGCTTATTATCGTAATACACAGAAAAATGATGTCTTCTTCTCTCCACCTCAGATAATTACCCTCTTTCCTCTTCCACCCTACCATACGGACAAAGTTGTGAAACCACCAATAATATTCCAAGTAGCTACAAACGCACAAATTAAGAATAGTAACAACCAACAAGCAACCGTGTCCCTGAAAGTCAACGTAGGAACTCAGAGAGAAATCCCATCCCTCCCAAAGAGTGAACCCAAACCAAAGACAGGACTAAGTACTAAGACGCATGACATCAAAATTGTCAGCTAACCAAACACGCCTGTAGGTCTTGAGAAGGGTTAAAAGGTAACTTGTCGAACCAAAAGGCGAACTATATGCATAGCGCCTTAGACAATTAAATCCATTCTCATTAAACTGTCGAAGGAAAAGAGGTGACCTAATAACAGTCCATACGATAATCCACCAGTTGGACCACCCTTACCGACCAACAACAACGGTCCAAATCTGACACTGTCGTAGAAACCTCACTCGCATACTTCATTACAGGCAAATAAAACAATGAGATCTAGCTTCTCCTCACAGTGTGTGGGTGTAAAGGAACGCCTTGCAGAAAGAAGTAGACGCAGCTGCATCAGCTGGCTCTCAAACAACTGCTCCACACGGCCTTCACAAGCATACGCCGGTAGCAACCGCAGGTTTTCTCATCCAGTACTGTAGTCCCAACCCTACTCTCTGCAATATGACCCATCCTTCTTTCACATTACCATTAGTACCAGTTACTTTCTACGAGTACATTTACCTTCTCTTCTCTCATTCTCCACTCATCCCACTTCTCGCACTACTTTTTAAATAAGAGGTATAACCGAACAAAAAGAACATAAGAGCGGGAGTTGGAAAACTACAAGTTTCCTGTACTAGCACGATTGGCGTTGGAAGTTGCACAACATTGGACATATTGGACAGTCGTGTGTGCACCATCTGCTTACGGATCAATCGCAGACCTGCAACTGTTACGCAACACCTGGAACCAAGCCCTAAGAAATCAGTTAGTTTTTACAAACTTATAAAACGAACGTTAGGTATTGTTTCAAATTGTCGATAAGTAAAAGGAGTGTATACGCGGTTGTGTAAACACGATGAGCAGAAATATATACTATTCGGAAAAGTATTTTGATGACACTTACGAATACAGGTAAGATTAAAGAGGTCAAGTATTAGATTAATTGAATTTTTAGGCACGTCCATCTACCAAAGGAGTTGGCTAAGCAGGTGCCTAAAAACCATCTAATGTCTGAAGCTGAGTGGCGAAAGTTGGGAATTCAGCAGTCAGCTGGTTGGATACATTATATGGTTCATGAACCCGAACCACATATAATTCTCTTCCGACGTCCACGTACTGATATACAAACCACAGCCTCTAGTGGTATTAACAAAAATGAGGCCGGTCAGGTCCCTATGCAAGCATAGTTAACTTTAACATTCTTTTTATTTGACGTTTTTTGGTTATGAACTGTTGGTTAATACATTTTGATATTATGCTACAAATTTCTTGTGTACGTCAAACCGAAATTTTCAGGATACATTTAACTTGGTTCCTGATGTATGGATGTGGACACGTATTACCGACATTCCTTATGTTCGTAAGGCATGAGAAAAGCATCAGCGATGACAAATCACTGAAGAATCACTCAGCGATTGCTCAATACTTTACTGTTCATAAATTAGTTTTTGATAACGCATTAGTAACGGGGAACTTGCAACAAGTCTTCTCTTTTGTTGTACTGTATGATTTGCGTCGCTTTCCTAGTGAGAAGCAAAGATGTACTCGGAATAAAAGTTGCATATCATATGGACGTCTATCGGCGATTAGCGTGAATCGCCATGCACTGTTCTGGATAATCACATCACTCAATATGTGCTGTCTACTAAATGTGGAGTGAATTGATCATAATATGAACGTAAAGTCATACTTCAATCCACATAACTTTGTGTGGGGCTTCACATGCTTTCATATGTATATGGAAGCATACCAATTATAATTGATATCTATTCGGCATTGGGAAATCTCATCCTAGGTTTTCCGGCCGGAGTGTCACTACTTACAAGCAAACACCTACTGACTACGTAATTACTTTAAGATTGTGAGTTAAAGAGAGAATCTATATCATCGGCAGCATTTGCTTTCAAAATAAGCTTGAAGATAATTGCACACTACTTAAAAGTCCCGTGATAATTCGTATTTTAGTTGACTCTGAGGTCAACGAAATAAGGTTGGTAGTTATGCATTTTAGTTGTCATTTCACTGAAATAGATTACGTCAACAAACCAATAAATTTGTAAGATTTTTCCATAAAACCACAGTGTGAATTGTCTTACCTCAGTACGAAAGAACAAATAACTGACAACCATGCACAAAACCCAGTGTTTTAGGTTATCGAGCCTCTTAATCAAATCAAGTGCAGATGGTAAAAAGAATGAAGTGGGATGACATAGCACTATTTTTTGAAAGTTGGCAAAATCTTGATAATACGACAAAAAATAAGTAAGTCTGCGCCGTGTTGATTTTGAGCCATGCCATAGAGACTGGAAACAAACAGTCATAATATCCTCAATCAATAACCTTTATATGACTGAGATTAACAAACACTTAGCAGATTGATGTCTTCTTGGTTTGGTCACCCGTACCTTCTTCCTCTGAAGTCTACTGTAGTGCGTTCGAGTAGATGGTTTGGTCGGCGTAACATATCCCGCCCACTTTATTTGGTGCGGTTTTTTGCAGCCAAATCGTTTTGTGACAGGTTAGTTCTTGACTTTCTGTCGCCAGACAAGATATCACTGGGAGCTAGTTCCCCTGTACCATGGTACATTTTACAGGTGTAAAGCACAGACAAAGCCAGGGTTTCGTTCAAGGTATGTAAAAGAAATTGCACACTTTCAGCTCCGGTTAATGCACTTCTGTGTTACTGAAGTCACCCAGATCATCTTCACACAGCAAGTTGATTCCCGAAAAGTGAGAAGTAAGCAAACTGATTCAGCTAGATATAATCAATGAAGTCAGGTGTCTCCGGCTTTCACCTGAGATGACAAACTACTATACAGCCACAGTAACTCGAGCCTTTATTAGCAAAGTATAGTTGCTCAGTTTTCTCTATATAGTCAGATGTTGTGAGAACACGCCTTCGTCTATTGTGCATATGAAGACTTCGGGTTGAGAAGTATAAGACGTTAGAAATATGATTTGCAGATCCTAAGAACATGGAGACCTAACCAGAGTACCCTTGATGTTCAAAACTGGTCTACTGGGACTGCTCCTGACATCTATATCCCAGTCTGTACCTCAGTTATAATCGCTAGTTACTAACCTTCATTCTTGACATTGCCTGGAGCCAAAGCGTGCAGCTACACTACTTTAACACTATATTTTATAAGACGTTTGTTCATTTTGTCTAGGCTCAGGTTGAATTGTTAGTAGCTGAATGAATCGCTAGCCAGTGTTCCAACTACCTATCCTGTAAAGATGCTGAGTAACTTCCTCCCAAAATGGTAGTTTCCACGACCATCCATTGAGATTGACATAAATAGTTGCCCACTTTATGTTGAAATCTTTTCTACATCTAGACAAACACAAATCTCGTACACAAGTGCGTTGGATCAAGTAGTATACAGAGAACAGGTGGGTAAAAAACAGTAAACAAAGTTGTATGATGCAATCAACGATTTCAAAGTTAGTGCAGATATCCAAGCTTTAGAAGATGTCAAAGAATGAATGCGCATCTACGCCATTGTAACCGATTTTCAGCTGTCACCAAGACTCCTCAACCACTGATTTCTTTCGTCTCGAGGACGCCAGCCAAGTAGTCTGTATCTTCACACACGACTCAGACCAAGTCAGGGACTTCATAGACTGGTGCCACGTCTGGCTACGCTAAACCCTCCTCCAACATGATCTGGCATGGCACATCGAGGTCGGGGGTGGATCGCCATACACAGTACATGTCTCAGCTATCTCAGTCAACTAAGGTTCACGACGTCATCAGTCGACTTGTTTCGTACCCTCCACCTGACCTCAACATTGTTCACGCGCTGGTTTCACCAAACGCCGGCAATGCTACTAAGTCACCTGTGGTCAAAACCTTGTAACCCCTTCGTGTCTTCCACTTTCCACGCCCGTGTCTCGGTTGTGTAATAAAACAGCACGGAGTTTAGCTCAGTATGCTTTACTTTTGATAGATAGTCGGATATCTCGGCGCCATGGTTGACAAATGCCTGACTAACCTTCTGTGCCCGGGGTGAGGTTTCGTCAGCAACCAACCCGTTCGCGCTAATGCAACTCCGCCAGTAAGCGAGGTAGTCGACACATTCCACCACTTTACTATTATTAAACTATGAGTAGTTGAAGACTAGTCTTGGAGCATCATCTTACTTTTGACAGGTGTGAAATACTTGTCAAACATACTCAGATTTTTGCTCAGTACGTTCAGTATCTTCACCTAACGGGACTGTCGTCTGCATACTATGAGTCAATCAGATGACCTCTAGGGAGTAGATCGATCCCTGTGAAGTCAAATGTACCTAAGGTTATTGACATCAGTATGTCTATAACGAAGTTAGTTAAAAGCGGTGACAGTGAGCATATGCTATATCCAGATCTCGTCACTGCTCGTAATTATCATGAAGTTTTACCTGATTTCTCCTTAACTTGAAGGCTAGCCGTAATAAAGCTGTGTTCATGGATCACTTAAAAAGAAGCTAAAGATACCTTCTGGTTCATGCTAAACTTAGTCTGTAAGCAGATGACTTAGCCTTACTACGTTAAGACGCACACCTTGAGTTATAACTCTTTAACGTCTGGAGTGCATTTCTTGCTTTCCAGACGCGGATCGTTTCTCCGGTACTGGTATGCGTCGTGTTATTTAAAAAGAAGTGAAATGGTTGACCATTCTACTTATCTGGGAAGTTGAATCAACTCAAGCGGATCAGTGATCGACAAAAGGCCTCGTTTGCTTTCGCCCACTTACTCAAATTATAGCACCGCTGTGATATCCAACTGCCTACCAAGGGCTGAGTTTTTGCACTGCGGTTCGCCCTGTTCTACTCCGTGGACGTGAAACATGGTCAATGAGGGTAGAGGACACGAGGAGGCTATCGGTATTTGACCACCGTTTCCTTCGTACCATCATTGTGTTACCATATCGGTAATGTAGAAGTCAGACTTAGCATTTTAGGAAGCAGAGGAAAGTCAGTCTATGAAGTTTCACAACCTCGTCGACTTATCTGGTTGGGACAGGATATGCGTGCCTAGCTGTCATCTTACATTACTATCTGAAGTAGTTTGAGGATGGAAAAAGGTTAGGGGCGGTCAGACTAATACATGGTGTCGGTCTATGAAGTCTTTGACTGTTGGTCTGAGCCATATAGACTTCGCGTTTTGGGTCCGCATGACGGTAGGAACCAGTGGTCTGGGACTCTAGGTGACATGGCTCGAAATCGATGTCACTGGCCCAGATGTGCTCATACTTTATCTTCATCTTAACTGCTATGCTGAATTCAGCATTCCCTCGTTCCTTCTTCTTTTCTCTTACTGCTTCTAGCCGATTTTTCTTTCCTCAATCTTACTAATTTGTTACTTGATGTACTGACATGAGGTGTAGTAACTTGAACCATTAAGCGGCAATGTCTAGTCTTATTTCGATATTGATTGGTTCATAATAACAAACTTGCAGTAGCATAGGCTAAACTGTACTTAAATGATAACCAATACCATTATAGTATTTGTCAAAGTCACAGAAGAGAATAGCCGTAAGGAGGGAGAACATCGTTGGACATGATATAACCAGACGACGACTTATAACTGCTTGCATCGCGTGTCTGTTTACACAGTGACAGTTGATCACATCTCCCACTCCTTTTTAAAAGATATTTGCTTCCTCCACTAAATAATGTGGTATCATTATTGTAAACATAATGATAGCGGAATTTTAACTCAACTGCAATTCCGACCAGGTGAACCGAAGGTATAGTTTATACTGGCTTCTTGTAGAAGTATAAGAAGTGTAGTATTCACACATATAGAGTGATTAACAGGTGATAGGAGAGACAACTTGATTTTTTTGAAATGTTAATGAAATGAATGGAAATGACAGTTGGTAATATTTTCTTTGAGAAGCAGAAGTATCGAAAATGTAGAGAAGGAATGAATGTGATCGGAATTTCGATGGAATGAGCTGTTCCCATGGTGTTTATCATCCGTATTCAAGCGTAAAATCTGCTCATCTCATGCCCGGTATGAGGAAAATAATTGTTTTATCAGGCATTGTCAATCCGGGGATATATTTATAATTGTTAGAAATCGATGAAGTCATTGCTATGAATTCTTCGTGTGAGCTAAATTGCATATCATTGTTGTCATCTCCATGAAAGCATGATTATCGATTGCTATTCAGTGAAGTAGGCTTGCATTATTCTCA